CCGTTCTCTCCTCCCCGCTCCTCCACCTCCCTCCTACTTTCTTCGCAATGATACCCTCTTTTGTCGTCATCTCTCACCGCAATCGTTAGTCCCAAATCGGGCATCGCTCTTGACCTGCCCACTCCTCATCCCCGCTCCCTCGTTCCCTTATATCTTCTACTTCCTATCCCCCTTGTTCGTACACCCACCGCTCCATGCCCTTCCCATTCTCATCCTTACATCTTCTTGCACCAACCGTCATGCAACCACCATCTTCCGAGTCTTGGCCGGCAGCGTCTACCTCTCAGCAGTCACAGCCGCCTCTTCCTCCTTCGCAGCATCAACCACGCCGCCCGCCACCGCAGCCTGAATTTCAATGTCATCACTCCGACTGTCTCCGCCGTTTTGTCAGGAAAACATCCCTCACGAACCATCTCAAGGCTCATCAAAATCTTCGCTCTCGTTCCATTTATCGCACAAAGCGAGCCCGTCTTCGAGCCGCCGCAGCTAGGCAAGCTGCTGCTGCCGCGGCTTCCGCTGCTACGACTTCTGCCGCTGCGACCGCCCTGTCTGAGACAGATCCCGCGGCGACATCCAATTATGCCCTTGACGCAGCCGCTTTGCCAATTCCGGAACAACGTCTCACCTCCCACCTTCAAGACCACCGTTTGCATTTACCCCGCCCTCACAATCATGCAACAAGTGGTACGGCATCTGCCCCCTTACCCACTCCCCAGCAACAACTTTCCCGCCGCACGGACTCTTCCCCGATATCCGCCGTAAGCGCCCCTTCCTCGCCGGCTGCCCGACAGCCATCCGCCGTCCTTGTTCCATCTACGCACTCCCAGAATGTACATGAGTCTGCACCTACCTCCCTGGTTTCGCCCAACTCCTTCTCTACATACCCGCTAGATGTCTCTGCCTCCGAATCGGCGCTCATGTTCTCCAAGGCATTTGATCTTCCGGTAGCCGCTACCCCCACGTGGGGGGTTCCCCAGCAGCAACAGCAAGACCCTTCAGCACCAGTCACATTCAATCCTGCTATGCTGCCTTTTGTGCACCCACCTCGCCATCTGGATGACCCAGTGGCTCATCTCAAACCGGATCATTATCAATCCCAATCGCAAACCGAGCAGGCACTGCCAGTCGTCAGTCAGGCCGAAACGGGCCCTACTGCGGCAACGGCAGCTGCGGCTTCGGATCTACTAGGCCCGCAGGCAGATATTTTTTCCGAGCCCATCGAGACGCTGCACCCGTACGAGTTTCTTGGAGACTTTGGGTCGTACCAGTAGGTTAGCTTCTGCTTCATCACCAGGCACGGCTCATAGATTGTGGGCATGACTTGGAGGTGAGATTTGATTATGATAAGGACATGGGTACTAATATGAACAAATCCGTACAATCATGTGGCCTAGTCGATCTCTCCGACCGACAACGATCCTGCAGACAAATCTCACACGGCAATGCGCACACGCGCACAGACGCACTCTGAAAGGGGCATGTACATAACCTTAACATCAACACAGACGTACATAAATATCATCTGATCATCTGAACACTCATTCCTTGACATTTCTTCACAATAAAGAAAGGCTCGATAAACGACGAACGACCAAAAAGCACGAACAGAACGAAAGGGAAATGCGTGCCTAACGCCAACTTGTTCAACACTACTCTTTCAACAAACATGGCTTTCGACCAGTACCCTTTGGCTATCACCCTCCATCAACCCCTCATCAGACGCACGCCTAGCAATTTTGTTTGCAACGCCAAAGAATATGTAGTCCGCATGCCCACTTGCAACTGCTTGTTGAACGGATCAAATCCTGCCTTTCGCAATCGCCTGAGATAGATGGCAGCCATATGCAATGGCCAGAATGCTGGCCTTGCTTTGGGGTCTACGCCGGACAACTGCTTTCGAGCCTCAGATAGGTGTACGTCTGCTGCGGATGCGACTGTGCGAAAAAGGTGGCATGCGTTCTCACCACCGCTCAATAATTCGTTTTGCGAAACTCCGCTTTCACGGACCAAATCTCGAGGCATGTAGGAAAGTCGAGAGGAAGCATGGGCTGCTGTGCCGCGCAACAAAATAGCAAGACCAATTGCTTTGCCAGCCTCTGATGAGACAGACCTCAATAACGGTTCGTCACTGCCAGATCTGGAAAGCGCTGCAGCATGAACACAAATCAAAGACCCTTGCGTGTCGGAAGCAAAAGCACGAAGGTCAGCAAGTGAAGCCATGGACGGATAAGCAAGATCGCGCTCACGGGCGTTAATCAGACAATGCAAGGGGTCAAAAGATACTTCGGGGAACAGGGACGCTGCTTCTGCGAGCACATCTAGGACAGGTGCTCCTGGGGGGCTCTTTCCTGCAACAACGGAAGAAAGGCCATCTCGAAAGAACGCAACTCGAAGTCGCCCCAGGTCCTCGTTTGAAACAGTTGCACGAACTAGTGGAGGAATGTGTTAGCATGCACGAGAGTTCTACGTTGAGTGAGAAGCAACATGGATAATGTATAAGACATACTGTTCGCCAGCTCAACATTTAGAGCGCGTGTAGAGGCGTGAAGGAACCGAGTCACCTTAATGGGATGCAGTAGGCTGGCGAGATAGTTCTCATGGTCATGTGAACGCAGCAGTTCGAGGCAATAGGCTCGATTAGCAGGAGCTGCCGTGTGCCGCATGGCAGAGGTGGTCATTGCAGGTAAGTAAAATGGAATAAAGAGGTAAAGGAATTGGTGGGTGCTGTGATGAGCACATGAATCTCCCATGGGGAAGACGATGTTGACGCGTTTTGTGACACTGGTGCCCGATCAAAAAAAGAAATAGAGTGGCGTTGATCTTCAATACACAAGGAAACAAGTGAAGAGACGGCTTACAGACAGGAATTGTCTTACAGAGACCTCGATTACTGTACTGTTGTTGTGACGAAAATTAGAAAGAAAAGAAAGGAGGTGAGCAGTAAAAAATTCACCGGCAGGACCGGGCGAGCTGAGGGTCGCGTTCCTTTTACTGCGTTGGTTCTTTTTCTTCCTTTCTGTGTCCGGGCAGCTATTCTGCCATTCACTTCCGGGTATTTATACTACTACCTACGCGTCTATTCTCTTGCCAACAGACTCTCCTCTTTGCAAACCTTTGCTGATAATCTCAAAGGATTGCATTATCAGTAATGTCGTTGGGAGAGATGCACTGTAGGTTGACGTCTGAAATAATCAAATACTACACCCAGTTACTGTCATTAGTGTCACCTACGGTATTTTTCAGGGAACATTTTTGAGGTAGCTTACATGATTTACTGTCGGTGACAGTATTCCCCTGGTGACGCTGTTTTACGTCTGTTTCTAATTATTGTTGGTGACTCTAATTTCAAATTTCAAATTAGCGTCACTGGCAGCAACTGCCGGAACTGCTACACTCCACTACATCATTGATTGTGATCATGTACATCGATGTCAACAGTTCCAGGTACAACTGGTTCTCCGTTCAAATGGTTCCGGTGCTTGTTGATAATGTTCTGTAACTTCGGAAACAGCTGACGTTCCTCCCATAAACCATTCGTGTTTAAAGCCATCCCTGTCCTCATCATCGCCTTGCGAGCAAACGTCATACCCTCACTATCCTTTTGCTCATTGACCTCACGCACAGCAGCACTCGCGAGTCTCAGAAAAAAAGATTTCCCAGGATTGGCCAGCTTTCCAGAACCATCCGTCCACCTTCCCTCCATGATCATCTGCATTTTAAATGCCTCCCATCTCGTACACCATGCTCGCTTGATTTTTTGTATTACAAAAGAATCGCAAGGTTGAATTAAATGTGTGGCATTCTTAGGAAAGTACCTTATTTCAGTATTAATCCCAATGGCAGCTTGGGAAAGTGAGACTGTGTTGTTATGGCCGCTACAGTTATCGACGTACAGTATGCGCTTTCGGCCACCTGGCAATGCTCTAATAACACGTCGTTCTTGCATCCATTTATGCATTACCTGCGAATCCATCCAGCCTTTAGGTCCGCTACGGTAGGAGACACCTGGGACATTGTCAGGTACACCACGGATAGGATAACTCCGGCATTGATTTTTGAAAACCATAAACGGATTCTCGATTTTTGCCTCAACACCTCCACTGAGCCTTACCAACATAGTCATTTCCTCTCCTCCAGATGCCACATCAGTACGACGGGGATGTACTGTGTTTGATGAGGTGCACTGCCAGTGCACGAAGGTTCCGCAAATTAAACTTGACCCTCAATCTCCTCAAACGGTCAAACTCTTCAACCAAATCCTTGTGTAGAGCCAAAACCCAGGCTTCTCTTTTACGTCCCCTACCAGAGCGTGCTTTAGTAAATACTCGCGTGAAACCGTTACGCGAAACACGCGTGATGGAGCCTGTTTTGCCTTGTAACACCACCTTGCCTTCTTTATCGGTAAAATCTGACCTCGACTTCCAAAGGCGGCTTGCCCGTACAAGGTTTGCGTTTCGGGTTCCGCGAAAAAGATCCGGGAATTCGGCAACGGCTTTAGATGCGATACATGTTTCCCCGTCTGTCTGTACAGCCTGAAGCATCCATTTAACGATAGTCAATCGTTGCGACAGCGTCAAAACGCGCTGCAAGCTACGCTTTTTTGTCGTGTCTGTAGTTGGAACTTCGTTCCTGTTGATTACAGATGCATTTGATGCATCTGTATTTGTCCCCGGGTTCGTGGTCGTCGAATGGCCTTGGTGCAATTTGCCATTGCGAAGCTTTGCGCTCTCGAGAGCGGCAATAATAGGGGAAGCAGATGCCGGCATTGGGAGGAGGGGGAATGAAGTGAAGGTGGTGGGAGGAGGGAGAGGGAAGTCAAAGTGGTGGGAGGAGGGAGATAGACGTGAACGGAGGGGAGGAACGTGAAGTTGTTGGGAGGAGGGAGAGGGACGTGGTCGGAGGGGGAGAGACTTGAAAGTGGTGGGAGGAGAGAAAGGGACTTGAAGGTGGCGGGAGGAGAGAGAAGGACGTGAACATTGTGGGAGAGAGGAGAGGGTCTTAAACGTGGTGGAAGGAGGGTGAGGGATGATGAAAGTGGTGGGAAGAGGGGAGCGACGTGAACGTGGTGGGAGGATGGGGAAGGATGTGATCGTGGTGGGAGGAGGGAGAGGAACGCGAAAGCGGTGTTGCGAATTGAGATCTTGTATCTTTTTCGATCTAATGCCTTATTTGCTGGTTGGTGATGTTTCGTCCAAATTGTAAAACCATGCAGTATTTCGGTCGCAGACGCAACATGTACTGTAAACTTTTGCGTATTGTGAGCTCAACAGATCTGTCGCCACGTTCCGGATTTTTCGTGGCAATACCGTGACACCCGTTTGGAGAAATTGTGACACTAATTTCAATTGGCCGTTTTTCAAATCACCGTTTTAGTGTCAGTGTCACTATTTCGTGTTGTTACTCTAATTTATTGGTTACACTAATGACAGTAACTGGGTGTACCGTTTTTCAGTGCGGTTTAATTATTTAGATGTATTTTGTCGAACTGTATACGTCACCGTCGACTCCCAAATTTCCACATTCCCTCTATTTTTGACGTGACGTATTCCCGGTTTGGCTTCTGTCAATCCACTGGTCCACAGGGTGTGTGATTCTTGCGTACTTTAAGGTGTTGATGAGAGATTTGTTGCCGTTGGCTTTTGTCAAGCAATCAGCCAGGTCGTGTTCCGACCGAATGAATCCGATTTGCTCCATTTCATTTTGCTGGTACGCCATTTTGACTACCTCAAGGTCAATCATTAGTCGTTTCTCAACCGTGGTAGAAGCTTTTGTGACCACATCAAATAGTGAGAGACTATCCGTAAACATCATGATGGGGATCTTTGTATTCGTCATCTTCTGTATGTCATGTCTGAGCATAAAGGCCATGTCAAATGAGTCAGCAAACGCCATTGTTTTACTGCCAAGAACTGATCTTGAAACTCGCTTAGCCTTGTGAGACGACCAATACAGTGGTTGGCAAAGATGACTGCCATCACACAGAAATATGATATACCCAATTTGAGAAGAGCCATCTGAGTTGTTTGCATATGAAGCATCTGAATAGACCCTAATGTGTAATTGGTTATATTCAAGCTTGGGATATCTCAACGGCACGTATGGTTCTTTCTTTAATCGTCTAATGGTGAGTTTAATGTGTCGGATTTGAAGTTTGGGGTTCATAGTATACTGTGATTCGGTAACTTGGGCGGCTTGTGCAATGGAGAAACATATATCTAGTCTGGTGTACGTAATCCAGGCCAATTTCGCTCTGAGTGATCGATATGCCTTGTATGATGCCGTATTTTG